CACACACACACACACACACACACACACACACACACACACACACAGATCTGACTCTATCAGCCAGGTGTTGAATGGAGCCAGTTCCTACTTTGCCTCTCCCCCACATTGTTTTCTCTTCTTTATTTTTCAAAAAAAGACATTTGTCTATTGTCAGGAACTTACAGGTGAGTTTAATTGTGCTTTTAATTATCAGGAGAGCAGGAACAATGTCCTCAGATAACGTGGGTTTGAACATTAACTATTACCTGCAGCTTCAGTGTCTCAGATGTGTTGTACAAGTGGTTTACTTACATATGTACTGGTCAAAAATCATTGGCATGGACACACAGGATGATTTACATAAAACTGGAGAAACTATAACTATTAGAATAGAATATATCTTTATTGTCCGTCAAGGTGGAAATTTGCCTTCGGCTCACCTAACACCAAAGTAAACAAACGCATGGACAATTTCATGTGATACATTAAACAAAAAACATTTTGTGTCAATGTATGTTTGTGGTTATACATTCTTATTCGCCATAGGGACTCTATAGCGCCTCCTGGAGCTTAAAGGCTTTTCTGGCTGAAGAAGGACGGGAGTTATCTTTCAGGATACGCATCGATTTCTGCCCTCATTCTTTCAGTTGCGCCAACAGCTTTGGGGTCTGCAAACTATTTTGCTTGCCATTGACACAATCCTAGAGAGTTTATTCTTAGATTAACAGTTGAGGTAATAGCTCTTACGTTGATTAAGCACAAACACAACACAGTGCCCACATCCACAGTCATACGATTCTTGTTGACCCTGCGTACCAACAACTGACACAGTTATCAAACGTGTTAACCCTCATTCAAAGCCTCCTCATGATGAAGTGTGGTCTGTGGTTACTACGAAAACCTGCGAGCGTGCCAGCTGCCTGTGGCACTGAAGTAGCACAGGCCAGTATCTGGCACACTGGTCTCAAAGTCACAGAGAGGACTGAAGGGAGATAAAATACTTCTGGGGTCACTGTTAAGATAAACTGCTGGAGCTGGCTGATGTTATTTTCTGTACTGAATTGTGGGCCTGAACAGCACAACCATTATCATAATGAATTGGATCAAATCAATATGGGGAGGTAAAAATGGTAATTACATCAGCAATAATACCAAGAATAATTTAACAAATAACTCAGATAATCCGTGAACTATTTAAAAAAATCTAGAAAAGTTTTGAAAAACACCCTATCAAAAACGTTTATCTTCCTTAATCCAAATTAAATATATCTAATAATAATAACACTAGAGCGGGTTTCTACGTCTTTTATTCGCTATGGTTATACAGCTTCCTACAGGAGCTGATTTTATTGCGAAGGTCTCGAGCGGAAGTAGCTTCGCCATCTCTCTCACGGTAGCTCCAGGTCACACCTCGGTCCCGCTGACAGTCACAGTCCGAGCACAGTCTCCGTGTGGCGCCCGCGGTTCGCACGTCAGCCCGGCCCCTGGGTGTTTTGTTTCTCCACTGTGAAAATGTCTGTCGCCGTGTGAGGAGCTGAGCAATTAAACGGAGACAGAAGTGAAGTGGTGTCTCTGCGGGACTGTCCCTGGATCGGGTCTGGACTTCACACCATCACAAGCACGCGGACAGGACAACTCGTCCAGGTGAGTCACACATACACCTTCATGTGAAATATGAAACTCAAGTCATCGCAAATTCACTAGTCTACCTCTGCAAGTGAACTCTTTGCGCTGTCTTAAAAAATGTATTATCT